GCCAGGGCTGTTACACAGAGAAACCCTGTCTCAGGAGGTGGGGGTTGGGGTGGGGTGGGGTTGGGAGGAGGCCCAAGGAAAGGAGAGGCAGAAATGAACCAACCACAAGGAGTCATGCGATTGTGACAACTTTGCAGTGTGTGGCTTTGAACTTCCTGGCAGTGGGGACTGTGCCTCAGTTTTCAGTGTCTTCTGGGAAAGACGTGTCCGAGAATACAGAACCAGACACATGTGGAGCGGGAAAGGAAGGGGTGGAGAAATCAAGGCGGTGGGGAGGTGGGAAAGACTCCTAGATAGGAGGAGTTCCCAAGCCCCAGTCAAGGCTGCCTTCAAGAGTGTGTCCTGTACAAGTTCCTAGGCACAAGGCCACTTCTGCACGCACCCTGCTTGTGTGCTCTAGGGCCTGCTTGGGCCCAATCACACATACACCACTTCCCCTTGACAATGGATCACTGCTGTGCAGTCTTACTCTATGACTTGGTGGGTCAGAGAATACCCAGCTCACGATAGGCAGCTCAGGCTGCATGATAACCTGGTAGCCCACCGACTTAGTTAGCGTTTCTATGGCTGTGAAGAGACCATGACCATGGCAACTCTTGTAAGGGAAAACATTTAATTGGAGTGGCTTCCTTACAGTTCATGGTGTACATGGTGGGACACGGAGGCATGCAGGCAGGTGTGGTGCTGGAGAGGTAGCTGAGAGTCCTACATCTTGCAGGCAACAGGAAGTGGTCTGAGACACTGGGCGGTATCTTGAGCATCTATGAAACCCCAAAGCCCGCCTCCACAGTGACACACTTCCTCCAGCAAGGACACACAGACACATCTCACAATAGTGCCACTCCCTTTGGGGGCCATTTTCTTTCAAACTATCACACCCATCGTCAAACATCTGGTTTCCATTAAAGCCCAATGATAGGCCAAGAGCTGCCTCTCAAAGAGAGAATACTTGTCTACAGATGATGGTAAAGCCTCACTCAAAAATCCCAAAGGTCTCTTCTGTGATTCACAGATAGGGGCCTGCCAAAGGCTCCAAAACAAAAACAAAATCAAGAAACCTTCTTATCTGCCACCAATACTTCAATTACCATAGGGTCTGCTGGATTATATGGCCCAAACGGTAGGACAGCTTGCACAGTAGTCTGGATCCATTTAAGAGCTTGTTCCTATTCCAGGCTCCAACATAGCTAGCAACTTTCCTTCCAAGTGAGGAATGTGTTGTCTCCAGAATCAAACAGATGCACTGAATATTGCACTTTTTCTTGGTGGCAGGATGGGCCAGGTGCAATAAATTATCCTTCACCCTAGAAGGAATATCTTTTATGTGTTCCACACCACTGGATTCCTAGAATTTTCACTGATGTAGACGGCCCTTGAATTTTGGTTGGATTTATTTCTTATCCTCTGATGTTCATATGTCTTACCAACAAGTCCCCCTGCTAACTTGGTGCAATCAGCATGTCATCAATACTTTGTACCAGTGTGGTATTTTGTTGGGGAAGCAACAGATGATCAAGCTCCCTTTGAACTAAGTTATGACACAGGGATGGAAAGTTAATATACCCTTGAGGTAAAACTGCAAAGGAATACTGCTGGTCTTGCCAACCGATAGTCAATTGCTTCTGGTGGTGCTTGTAAACAGCTACTGAGAAGGCAATACTGGATCAAGAGCTGCACACCACACACCAACCGGGAGAAGAGCTAATTAATTAGCTCAGGTAAGAACACCACATGTGGTGCAGCAGCTTCTGTCAGAACCACTACTTGATTAAGCTCGTGACAGTCAACTGTCATTCTCCAGAATCTGTCTTCTGCACAGGCCAAGTAGGAGAGGTAAAGGACGTGATGGGAACCAGTATGTTTCATGTCCTTGACAGTGTCACTAATTTCTGCAAGTCCTTGGTTTGGGTTCACTATTTTCCCTGGTATAGGCAACGCCAATGGCTTCCATTTGGCCTCTCCAACCGTAACAGCCCTCACCCCACAGATTAGAGTAAGAGTGGAGAAGGTAAGTTCAGTTCAGCGTGTGTACATTCATTTAATGCTCTGTGCTTTTGACTGTGGACGGACACTTCAACAGTCTACTGTATTGACTTCTCTGCTATGATGGGCTGTAACCTGAGCTTTTGTCAGGGCATTTCATCACAGCAACAGGAAAGAAATCTAAAACTGCTACCGAGGATTGGAAGCTGAGCCACACAGCAAGGTAAAAATCAGAAAAAAAAAAAAAATTCTGCTGCAGGGCTGCCCGAGGAGGTCCCTAGAGAGGCTTCTACACAGTAAGGAGGAAAGCATAGGTTTGTGAGGGCAGCCCAAGTGCCAGCAGGAGCTTCCTGGTGACATCCGACTCCTCAGCCTTCTACGCTACCAGTGCATCTTCCACCCCCGATCCTGACCAGCTCACATAACGACTCTGCTCACACCTAACATGTAGCAGTTTTGCCACAGAGAAGCTTTGTTTTGGCCTCCTGCATTTTCCCTTACTGGCGTTTCTCGTGCAACACGTGACAGTAGCACCCACAGTTGTTCCTGCCCAGGCTGAAGGTTTTCTTTTTTCAACCTCCTTTTCTGCACCTGGTTGAACTCATGAGGCCCAGCGGGATTTTCAAGTGTGTCAATCCCTAGAGCTCTGCCCCTAGACTGATTGGAGTGGAAGCCCTGAGGGCAGGGGGCAGGCACCAGTACTTTAAAAAACTCATTAGGAAATTCTTACTGTGTAGCCAGACTTAAGAATGAAGCCATCGGTGGCTTAAATAAGCTTCGAAACCAAGAGCTTTTCTGCTGCCTCCATGACCCAAGCTAGTCCAGGTCTAACCTAAACCACTGCCAATGCCCCTGTCTTTCTTCTGAAACTCCCAACCGACCCTCACTATAAGCACAATGCCATTATATCTATCCCAGCAAGGTCTTGCATGGCCTCTTCACCACGCTTTAGTCTCATGCTCCAAACTCCGGCCTCTGTGCCTCTTTTCTCTTCTGCCCGAATCTGCCTGCAAATCTTTGCATGCCCTGGCCTGCAGCTTCATGCCATTCAGGTTCGCTCTGATAGCGTCACCATGGAGAGGCCTTTCTGGATATTCCTGGCTTAATGGGGTGCCTACTGCACCCTCCTGTGGCTGTCCCACTGCCCTCACAGCAATTAGAGTTCAGTCAGCACCTCATTTAACCCTGGAATGTGAGGGTACAGAAGGCAGGGGCTCTGTCTGCCTTATTCTCAGCTGTACCTGCTGCTCATGACGGAATCCTTTGCTGGGCTGGTACCCAGTCAACACACTTCATCTACCCATCGATGCCCAGCGGGGCCTTGCACATGACTGCTATAGCCATCCTTGTCCAGTGATGCTCTGGCCCTGTCACTTTAGTTAAAAATCATTACAGCCAGAATCACACTTTCATCTCAGCAACTGGGAGGCAGAGGCAGGCAGACCTCTGTGAGTTCAAGACCAAACCTGGTCTACACGTGAGTGCTAGGACTATGTAATGAGGCCCTGTCTCAAAAGAAAGAAATTGGGGGAGGCTCTAGAGTCTTTGCTGTCCTATGTTTCCTCTTCCCTAATCACACAGACACCAAAGGTAAATCCACATTCCTTGTGGTCTTTCCCATCCCAACAAACAAATGCCCAGCGCAGCCACTGCCTGTCTCTCTGCACAGGATGCTCTCCACCTCGCACCACCAACCTCTGACTGACTGGCACCCATCCCTGTTTGTCCACAGCAAGCTACACTTCCTCTGCCAGGGTTGCCCTCACCTGTCTTTTGGACAGAGGCATCTTGATGGGAGAGGTGGTACTGACCTATGAGCTGAGCAGAAGAATGTAATTCCCTCCATTGTCTCCAACAGCAAGGGCGTCACACAGATTTCTGAATAAACCCTTTAGTTTGTTTTAACTTCTTTATACCCTTGTGCACGTGGCACTTTCAAGAACCAAAGTGCGTCACCTTCTCAGCTAGCATCAGCACCAGTCCACAGGCCCTAGGATACAAAGCCTTAGGCAGTTAGCGCCATCTGGACCAGCCACACAGGTAACTGCCTTTCCTTGGGAGGGATTAACAATGCACCTTCAAGAAGGGAGCTGCCTCACCCTGTGGTCTGTGCTGTGCTTTTCTGGGGCTCACAGAAGCTGTGAGTGTGGCCATTAGCAGAACTTTCTCAACCGAATGGCTACCACCCTCATACCGAAACAGTTAATCCACAGGGGAATTTTACCAAGTTAGCCACATGGTTGTTTCCCATACCACACGAAGAAAAGTCAGGAGGGCTTGATATGGAGTACAGAAAATATTCAGGGGCCTTTGCCTCACTTCGTGTATTTATCTAAGTCACTAAATGGAACAAGTTTTACCCACAGATACCCAAAGGTGTCTGCTGTATGCCAAACAGGCCTGGACAGCTTTTTAGAAAAAGAGGAATTTTTTTCCCCTCCTGACAACAGGTGTCTCATTATGTTGCCCTGGCTAGCCTCGAGCTCACAAGCATCTACCTTACTCTGCCTCCCCTGGGACTGAAGGTGTTTGCCACCCTACGAAAAAAGAGGAATCTTGTGCAACTTAACTGAAGGCTAAATTCATGCAGGTACTGAAACTGGATGTGGCTGTAGCATCAAGCCAACCCAACTCAAGTCGTCTCTTTTTTTCTTCACTCTCCCCTAGAATGCTTTCTGCTCTGACCATCTGGCCCAATCTCCAAGGTTATCTGATTGCATCCTCCAACCAGGCTGGGTTTCCCTAGCTAGACCCTTGACATAGCAGGCTCAACAAATACATACAGCAGTGTGTAGACAGTGCCATTCAACCTGCCCCCATATGCTTTAACAGGTACTGCCCCTCTTCCCCGGTCAGAGCCCCCCAAACTCTAAAAAGAGGAAGCTCACTTTTCCACCCAGCCCCGGCTGTCCCTTTTTTCACATTCCCAAGATCCATGGAGAGCATGCGGGTTCCGGCCATGACAGGGCCAGAGGGATAGAATGTGGGCTGGTCAAAACAAGCCCAGACATACTCACGGGGTCCGTCAGCATGGCCCGGCAGTGTGAGGCCAGGGCCAAGAAGGCCAGCAGGTTGAACACAATCCCGTTGATGACGCTGTACACGTAGTCTCGGGATGGAATCAGCATGACGAAGAGGACCACGAACTCCGCGTAGAGGACCAGAAACCAGGTGACAATGGCACAGGCGATGCCACAGCCGTCACGAATAAACCACATGGTTCCCGCAGGGCCAGGGAAGGGAGGTGGGGCGCACTTCTCCGGCTGGAGGTACTCTGGTTTCCGCTCAATGTCTCGGAAGTGATGAGTGGGGATGAGCATCATAAGCTATTCTGTCCATACTGGCATCTGAAAGGAAAGGGGCACAAATGCGGTGTTACCTTAGCACAAGGAGACCTCACAAGGGAACCACGGCGTGTATGTGCACAAACAGAAACCCTGCCTCAGTGCCTTCTTCACTTAAGGGTTGCCCTCCCTGTCCCTGCCATTGTAAAGCAAGAATACCTTCCCTAAACCCCTCACATGGAAGGCGAGACCGCAGAGGCCTGACAGGGCAATGCCTTGCCTGAGGGCAGCCAGATCAGACAGCAGCTGGAGGTGGCACTAGCCTCAGTCTCCTCTGTTGTGAGGGCACCGCTGAGCAAATAAATAGTCAATTGCATTAAAGCCGGGGCAGCAAATGCTAGGAAAAGCTCCTGTAAAACAGAGCTTGCTCTTAGGGTAAGAGGCTCTGCGCTGTGCTCTCTGTATGAGTGATGGGGAATGAGTGGAGAGCCACGAGACACCATTTCCTCACCCGTGAAGCATCGCCCTGCCAGCAGCTTTGGGGGAGGGGTTCAGGGTGGACATCCCGCATGGCTCACTGGCCATGCACAAGCATTCTCTTGGTAAGGCATTCTTTCCATTGAAAAGGCACTGGAGCTAAAGCCCTGATCTCTGGAGATGCAATAACACCAACTGGGGGGTGACACAGAACAAAGTATAAATGGAAGGTATAAACACAAAAATGCTATGAGGAAACCCACCACTCATTATTATTATTATTATTATTATGATAGGGTTTCTCTATGTAATATCCCTAGCTGTCCTGGAACTTGCTTTATAAACCAGGTTAACATCAAATTCACAGAGATTCACCTGCCTTTGCTTCCAGAGTGTTGGGATTGAAAGCACACACCACCCTGCCTGGCAATCCTCCTGCTTCGGCCTCAGAGGGACTCAATGTGAAAAGGCTGTATTTGTTCCCTTCAGCTTCCTCCAATAACGAAGGCAGACGAAGACCCTTCTTATTGTGATTAGCTTACAGCTCAGCAGCAACTCTGACAAAGACCTCCCTCCCTCACTTGTCCTTGCTTTTGAGGAACCTGGCAGAACTAGGAGCTTTGGCTGGGGAGGCCTAGAGGACCATTCCCGACACCACTCCATACAGGCCAACTGAACCCTCAGAGGAACTGTATCCTCTCGGGTTCCCTCCTAGTCCCTTTATCCTTCTCGCTGTCCGAAGTCTCCTCTCTCCATTCAATCAACTCAGCATGATCTTGAGGGAGTAGCCACTGCGAACTCCCCTGAGATGTGAGGGCAGGAATGTGGGAACCGCCCTGTTTGCCCCCCCCCAAGACTGTGCTGACTTAAAAGCCCCATTTTGTTGAGCTCTGCAGCCTGGCTGGCAGTAGGCATGAGATATGTGGTCAAGCTCAGCATGTTTGAGTGACAGAAGATGTCACACAAGTGACTAACAGACAGCAAACACAACACAGGGCGAGCAGGGCCAAAACAGGGGGATAAACATGCACACCCACCCATGCGGAGCGCACACTTGCTCAGGGTGAGAACTCACCATGAGTGGGTTACGAGAAGACAGAGGTGAGGAGGGCCTGGAGATGTGGCAGGGAGGCTGGGCATCTAGGCTATGTACACACAGACTGTGTTGGGGTAGACAGGGAGGAGGTGTAGGGACATGCTACCCTATGGCAAGGACATCCTCCTGGCTATTGACAGAAAAGCCAGGTGAGTTCAGAAGCCAAGGAACACAGGAGGGCACTAGTCCTATTTGGTGACACCAGGTTTTCTGTTCCTCTAGGTGGCTACTAGTTTTCCACTGAAGGACCGAGAAAACGACCCGTTTCCTAATCTTAATTATAGTGACCTACACTGTACCCTCTGAGCTGTTTCATAGCACTGTGTAAAAGGAGCTCCCTCCACGTGTTAGTAACCATAGGTGAGATTATTCTCACCGCACAGAAGAATGCCTGAGGCTCGGAGAGACAAAGGGACAAAGCCTATAGCAAGAAGTCAGACACAAGGAAGTCACACAGTGGAAGAAAGCACTCAGGAGTGCTGGGGTGCCAAGTCTCTCACTGTATGTGTGTGGATCTGCGTGTAGGTATGCACATGTACACGAAAGTGCCTGAAGAGGCCAGAAGAGGTCAGATCTCCTGGGGTTGAAGTTACCGGAGACCATGAGACCCCTGGTAAAGATGATGGGAAACAAACTCAGGGTCTCTGGAAGAACAAGCCATGTATACAGCATAAGTTTCACTGTACCTGACTGCAAGCATGCCCTTCTATCACAGACTGGTAGACAGACAGACACAAGGGCACTGTATGAAGTGGATCCTACAGCCCAGACTCCTGGGGCTTGATTGCTGGTTACTTCCTGAGGTGAGCTGCTCAGCTGTTTACAGATGGGCAGCTCCAGGGCTGAAAAGAGCTGTGTGAAGGCCAGGTTCACAGGCCCCGCCCACTGTGACCCACTACTCAGTCTTGGGTGGACTCACAGGCAGAGTCCAGATACCATGGCTGAGGTTAATGATCATTTGCTGGATGAAGGCGAATTCCCATCTGTCTACTACTTCTTGGCCTAAAAACCCTAGTCAGAGCCCTTGCTTTAGGGACAAGAGTCAAAGCCTAGTCTGAGCCCTTGCTTTAGGGACAGGAGTCAAAGCCTAGTCAGAGCCCTTGCTTTAGGGACAGGAGTCAAAGGCACAAAACCCACGAATTCTCCACATTGTAAGCGTTCAGGAAAACTTCAAGGAATCAATAAAAAATGTTATATCTAAACAACAAAACCATATGCTACTGTTTTCCTCTCAGCAAGTACTCCTGGTCCTTGCTACTTCATCTGCTCTCCTAGGACAAGATCCAGTCCTGAAATCAGCCATGGAATGCTTCAGACAGGTCTAATACCAAATCCCTTTTAAAGCACTGTGTGAAGATTTTGTTTCTAAAACATTACACCCACTCTAGTTCTCCACCCACAAGTGCACATTCCTTAGCAGCATGAAAGTGAATCTGAGGCTGTGTAAAGTTAACACTCAGCAGCAAAAGACAATGAGCCAAGCTGGGAAAGCAATTCTTTTCCCTGGTCTTAGAGACAAGGATCATCTAAATATACACAACAACAAAACACATATCATGCACAATTAAACCATTTAGGTCTCTACATGTAGGACCTATACAGATAAATCTGTTTTGTCTGTGTGAGTGTGTGTGAGTGTGTGTATCAGCAAGCTGCAGGAACCCTAAATAGGAGGCTCTAGGCTGATGCCAATACTGGATGCTGTGAGAAGGCTGGGGTCTGGCTGCTATTCCCCTTAAACTCATCTTAAACATTTATTCTTGTTTAAATTAGTTTCTTTCAGAGTTGAGTGACTGTTTCGCAGTCACTCAAAATGTCATCTCAAACATTGTGGCACCTTTTCATCACTCTTGAAATGTACCTAGAGAATCAACATCAACCCCTACTGTCTAACGGAACTGTTTTAAGAACATGGTATTAAGACTCTTTTAGGCCACTTTAGAGGCTGTAATCAAGTTCGGCAAAAGCATATATTCATTCACAGCCAGCTTAGCAGCTTCAAGGTAGGCGAACGGCCTGGGTCCTGGATGCTTTAGGGGAACAGCTGTAGAGATGGCTCAGTGGTTAAGGGTGCTTACTGCTCTTGCAGAGGAACTGGGTTAGATTCCCAACACTCATATCAGGTACAAACAAGTACATATGCATAAATAAAAAGAACAAATCTTAAAAAGAAAAATCAACCAACCTGGCAAGCAGAAAATTCACTTCTCTGAGCTATAGTTAACCTAAATTTGTATAAGGATCCCAAATGATTGTGAAATGTATGTCCATTTTCTGATGAGACTCCAAAATTTCAGTAATGAACAATGAATTACTATATTTGAAACATTTCATTAACATAACAGAATGAATCACTAAACTTTCCACAAAGGTAAGGGTGTGGCCACAGCCTGACAGAGCAAAGGTACCTTACCTGCTGTCCCTGGCCTGCCAGGGAAGGTGTTCAGGCAGGCAGACATGGCTGTCCCGCCTTGTGGGAAGACACACAGTCAGCGCTGCTTCCTCCTCTGCCCGCCACACTTACCCTCAATGAATGCATAAAAAAAAGTAAGCACTACACCTGTGCCTTAACCCTAAAGTTCACCCTAACCCGAAAATGGTAAGCCAAGTCTCCTGCCTTGCCTCACAACTGGCCATGTTTTTTTGTTCGTTTTTGAGACAAGGACTCACTATACATTTCTGGCAGGTCTGAACTCACTATGTAGAACAGGATGGTCTTGAATTCACAAGATCCACCTGCCTCTTCCTCTGAGTGCTAAAATTAAAGGTGTGCTACACCATACCCTGCCTTTATTCTTAACCAAATGTTCCTTTCCAATGAACTTACCATTATATTTCCAAGTTTTAGAAATGTCTAACAGACTGCAGAAAGATATTTCTTTAAGCCCAGGCCAGCCAGGGCCTCAACACCTGCCTTCACCCAACAACAACAAAATACAAAGCAACAAAACAAAAACAATAAAGGATTCCTTCTTCCAGAAGCCATTTTACAAGACCTTTGAAAAAACACAGCCTTCTGCAAACCCACTGAGACCAGCTAACCCCTTCCAAACTTGGGCTAGCCTGCTCAGAGCTAAGAAACAGCCAGCTCAAGGAGTTGTTGGGGTGTCTATGAAATGACCAGAGAGGAGAGTTAACTCATTCTCTGAGATTGGCCAACAGTGTCTGTTGCGATCTACTGGACCTTTGTAGGCAGTTTGTAATGCAGAAAGACAGTATTCATATTGGCAACAATAAATAAGTTACACAAGAATATACACCAATGGGTAAGATAACCTCAGTCTGAAAAGCCCTTCATAAACAAGTGTATAACCTACTTGATTAGGATCTATCTTCTGCCTTTCAGGGTGGCTTCCAAAAGGCCAAACTGTTACTACACTGGGGGAGGGCGATGATGATAAGATGGGGTAGGACTCTTTCCAACTGCTACTAAAAGTTTACTAACTGGCAGGTACCAATGCTGTCTCATCTTCAAATTTATCCCATCCAA